TATATATATAAACGATCAATTGTTTTTTATGGAGTTATTGACAATAGAATAAATATAGAATATCATATAAAAAAATGGCACATATAAGAATAAAATGAAATAAAAAATACTAGTGCTAAACACAATGCTAACATAGCGTTAAAATGACGTCAACTGCCTGATAATTCATCTGACATCTGATATCCTGTGACAAACCACCTCTGCAGTTCCCATAATAGATAAACGGAGTGGATGTGGCAGCAGGAGTGGAATAACAGGCCGGACCGCTGCTGCTCATGTGTGATGGAAGGTGATAACATTTATCTGCCTGTTACACAGATGGAGTCACAGAAATAAGCTGCTGTCTGGTTACAGGATATCTTCTGATTGACGTAGAAACCGGCTCGTTGTGCCCGTGTGGTCCCAAAGAAAAAGCCTGAAGTAGTGCTGGCATGTGGGATTAAGTGCACAGAGATTGAGCATGATACGTGTGTGAGTGACGGAATGATGCCGGTGAGACGTCGGCTCCTTTAGATGTGAATCACAAGATCACCTGCTGCTTGAGCTGCAAGAAACAGACTGAGAGCTCAGAAGAACCTCTCGTCCGTAAACATTGTGCTGGGAATTTGTGTTGCAATAACATAATATTTAAGCATGTTGGAAAATATTTATTTATGCCCCCCCGGTGTGTGATGATTCAGATTTTGCCGTAGCTTAAATATTCAAGTCTTGATCAAAAGAAAATCACGTCTTGTATCTCGAGATAGTTCTTTAAGAAGATAAAACTATTTTAACCTCAGTGCAGATATGTAGGTGTTGCAGCAGCAGGACAGACATATATTAAGTACATATGTATATATATAATAAGAAGTATATTATCAGTACTTATAGCGAAGTACATGGTGTGTGTTATGATTAGTAGCAGCAAAGTATAGTACATGTAAGAGTACATCTGCCCTTACTAGATACCAGTTAAAATACACAGATTCAATGATAATATTCCAGAGCTTTGTTTTAAATGGATAGAAGGATAGAATACATATGTATATAAATCTTGATATTGGTTCAGTCCATCTTCATGGCTGCAGTTCACTCATTTTAATTTAACAGTTAAAACATTCACAACAAAAGAAAGACAGACAGATGTGTAGAAATACTAGTGTGAATCAGATGACGTGTCACTAATGTAGTCGATTAAAGTCTGCAGTTTGAACCGTATTTCCATCATTTAATGCTCCTTTTGTTTCCTCAACAAAACGTCCTTTCTGTATGAGCTTCCTGTCCATAACGGGCCCCTTGCAACAGACAGGAAGTGGGATCAGGAAAGCTTAAAATTCCTAAATTATCTTTTGCAGGAAGTAAAAGCAGCACTAAGAGGAATGATGACTTCCTCTTTGAGGACATTAATCTGTGAGACGGTTCACCCTCAGAACCAAACTCCGCTTTAGATAAACATCTGTGTCCACATCCTGCTGCTGGACAGATGTGTACGTGACCACGACTGGTGTTGATGAAACTCTTTGATGGTTGATTAGAATCTGGTGAGTAGACCAGAAGTATTCAGATCCTTTACCTCAGTAAAAGTACTTGTGAAAATACTCCACTACAAGTAAAAGTCCTGCATTCGAAACCCGACTCAAGTCCTCTACTCAGACCATGTGGACGTAGTAGTATTCTATTGTTTCTTTATGACTCTTAATGTACTTTATCATCTAAAATCCTCAGTGTATATAATTAAGAACACAAAGACTTAGTCCTCTGAAAAAAACCCCGAATTTAATTAAAACAAAATGTTGATTCATTAACAAGTTTATAAAACAGTGATTTTAGTTACATAAATAAATCGATCAGTGTATCAAATCTTAGTTTCAACTTCATGAGCATGTCGACACGGTTGTACAATCGTTTACTAACGTAATAAATAAAACGGGAGCATATCTCCAAACAAAGAGCTTCTAACAAGAGACGACACTGAAAAACAGATGAAGTTGAGCTTTAAGCACAGAACACAGTTCAGTTCAAAACAATGAACGATACAAAAGAAAGGTTGTAACCAAAGGTGTGTTGGCGTATGAGAAACGTTTGGTAGTTAGAACTCCCATTTGGTTATTTTAAAGCATTAAGACAAGGCAAGAAAGAAGGCTGTTCTTGTGTGAGAGACTCTAGAGAAAAGGTTCAGAGAAAAATAAAAAATGGAAAAGTCAAGACCGACGTTAAAGAGCAACTTTCGTCCTGCACAGTTGGGATGTCAGAAGACACAGAACATGTGACTGGATCACTGCAGGAGGAGACAGGGAGGCAGATCCCTCTCGAATACATCGCAGCTGTATTTCTCCGCCGCTTTGCCTCGACAGTCGTCTCTTTCTCTCGACTCCTCCGATCCTCAATACGCGTCTCTGTTCCAGAGAAGACACACTGTGCACGTCCACTTCCTGTCTCGGTTTCTACAGTTCATTACATGTCTGCAGAGCCAAACATGCTCTTCTGTTTGGAATTGGCCCCTGGTGCGATGCAAGGCGAACCTTTTTGAAGTCATTCTGATATGTTTTTTTTTTTTTGTCTGTTTCAAAAATCAAAAAGTACTGCAGCTTCAAGTATTGTGCCTTACATAGAATATTCTTTCATAAATTAGTTAACATATACATTTTTTTTTCCAATACTCAGACATATACTTTCATATATACACGGGACAATAAAATGCTTTTGTTCTCTCTTTTCGTTTGCTTTTCTTTCTTCTTTTCTTAGAAATCCCTGAGAATGTATGCTGACAGTTTGATTCTGTGTTTCCGTGACAGTAGATGAAGCGCACTGAATGTTTGAGACAACACTGCGAAGCCAAAACAATCAGCCTGAAGATGAAAACAAATATCCAAACCCGGTTAAATGAGTTGTGAACTTCTCTTCGTCTTCACGGATCGGATGGCGAGGACTCGGAGGGGAAAGAGTAAAGCTGGATCCTTTAAAAAGAGGTACTTGTCACTTCAGATGGAGTTTTTCTCCATTTGGTTTAAAGCCGTTCGTCTTCTTCTTTGAGGCTGTTGAACGTTAGCTGAGGGAAGTCGGAGGTGCATGGTGGACATTTTGCCACTGGACAATACAGTATAATATACTCAGTGTAAAACTCTTACTCTTTCACTTTCATACATATATAAAGGGAAATACACGAACTTCCACGAATCGACTCCTTCTGCAAACGTAATGTTTTAAACACATCGATCACCTTCCTTTCATGGTTTAACAGTGTTTTCTTTTGCTCCTTCAATTTCAAACTTGTCATTTTTAGGAGAAAATTGACCCTAAAACACATTTTGTATCTTATTCCTGGGACGTCCCGTTAGTCGGTGGTCCTGCTCGGTCCGACTCACAATGAAAAGGAAACATTCACCGTGAATGAATGAGACTTATTCCCCTTCAGGAAATCGTGTTCATCATCACATTCAACCTCGCAGTAGGAATAAGATTTGCATGAATGTTGTTTTAGGAGGATTTTCACTTCAAGTTAGAAAGGATGTACATAAAAAAAAGGGCTATTTTGTTCGTTGGATCAACCAAATCTTTCCCGAACGAGCATCATGAGTTTCTTCTTGCCCTTGTAAATCTGTTTCAGGTTGTCTATGAACTGTGTGAACTGGATGTGTCCGTCGTGCGCCATCAGGAACGTCTCTCTGGCTTTACTGAGGAACTCGATGAACTCACTGTAGTGCCGCGGGCTGATGTGCGTCAGCCGGGAGTGCGTCGTGTTGATGTAGGCGCCAATCGTGGCGTCCAGCAGCTGCCTGAGCGGAGCCTTGTCCAGAGGCATCAGCTTCCCAGAGTTCCTGCGACTGTGCAGCGCCACCATGCCCGGCGTCGTCAGCGTGCACCGCCGCAATATGTCCGACAAGACGGTGGCGCACTTCACGCTCTTCACCACCAGGGGGATGACCGAGGCCAGTTCGTTCTTCCCCAGCGAGTGGCTGAGCGCACACGCCCACAGCACGTCGTTGATCGCCGGGTGCGTGTCTTGGTTGTAGCTGAGGTTCAGGTGAGTCATGGCTAACGTCGCTAGCTTGTAGGCCCTCATAGGGTACCCGCGGTGCTCCATGTAGCGGGCTATCGTAAACAGCTGCGTGTAGTTCATTCCCGTGGCGGCTGCGTCCAGTACAATCTGATAGGCTGTTTCGAAGGCGATGTGGTCCTTCTCGCAGAGCGTGAGGGCCGAGAGGGCACAGTTTTGGGGGTCCTTCATGGCACACTGCAGGGCCAGTGTGCGGGCCGAGTTGGCCAGGTTCTCCTGCTGGTGGCAGTCCAGATGCAGGCGGACGATGGTGCTGTTGGACATCACGGTGCTCGCCACGACGCTGGTGGCTTCGGTCGGGGTGAAGAGGGTGAACCAGCTCTGCATGATGCTGTCCAACGCAAACACGCCTGGACAGAGAAGAAGAGGAACGTTAGTTTAGGATTAAGATCTTACCGATGGAAACGCTTTCCTCCCCTTTCAAAGTTCATTGTGGTGTTCCACAAGGTTCAATCATAGGAACTCTTTTTTTTTCCATTTTATGTATTATATGTTGTAAAAATAGAAAAAAGTCACAGTATAGTATGTCGAAAATATCTCTTTAAATAGGGTTCATTTGCAGTCACACAAATCTAAAAACGTCACCATGTTTACTCTTTAAATCCTGCAGTCTAGACCAAAATAAATGAATGACAAATAAATGACGTTAAAAATCTTGACTTCCAGCAAAATGACAATATAAGTCCGACAGTCTTGCAGTGACCTTTTCCCTTGTAATCCGATATTCTATTTCTAATTCTCTGACATTAGAAGGCTCGGCCCCACTGGCACGTTATCAATGAGTCCTTTTAAACCCGGCTCACAGAAACAGGGACTCCTTGTCGCTCCCAAACATTCACAAGAAATCCTCTGGGAGGGTTTTTCCCCCCCCCCGACAGAGCTCCGTCCCTCTGGGCACGACTTCCTGTCCATTTCAGGGAAATACAGCCGCTGGGTTTCAGTATTCAAGTCCCAACAAGAGGTCTACTTAATCAGCCCAAAGCCCACAATCTTCTATAATTACTAGCCTGCCAGTCATTCCTTCCCTCCAAAATCCCCATCTCACACAGCTTTACAGCGTTGTTTTTAATCGACTCGATCCAAATAAACTAACTATATTTACTTTAGGACATTTTTTGTGGTACTTGTATTTCCAATTAATGCTACTTTATAAATCACTACATTTATTTTACAGCTGCATGTTGTAGTTCTACAAGACCAACTGCTTGAAAAATAACTAAGTTTTAAGGTTAATTAACTTTTCATGGGAAACACAAACTCACCAGCTTCAGTAGCGCAGGTGACCAGCCATCGCACCATCTCTCTCCTCCGCCAGTTCAAGGTAGACAGCGTCATCCTCATCACCTGTGAGAAGCCAGAGATTAGCTCTGAACCGGCTTGATATTAATTCTGATTCCCTGTGTGTGTGTGTGTGTGTGTGTGTTGTTGTCGTTTACCTGGAGACCCAGCTCCAGGGACACTTTGAGTAGCGTGATGTCCGGCAGGCTGTCCATGAGAGTGGCGATTTTGAAGGCGTCCTGGGCCAGTTTGAAGATGTGAGACGAGGAGTGGATGTTCTTCTGGATCGACTCTAACACTGTTTCCAGTTTACGAGCGTCGCCTGGTAACAACACACACACACACACACACACACACACACACACACACACACACAAAAAAGCAAAGTCATTGTTACTTTTTAGTCTCGGCTTTAAATTCATCTTTTCCTCTAATATTAATATATACTTTTCATGTCCACACAAATCAATCTTAATATTTTCCCTTCAAGGAGATACTTGGGTAGCTTGTAACAGTAGCTAGATAGATAGATAGATAGATAGATAGATAGATAGATAGATAGATAGATAGATAGATAGATAGATAGATAGATAGATAATTGTAACTGATTTTCTGTTATTCCTTTTGCTGCTTTGAGATATTCATTGTGTTCTATGTGATATTAAACAGGTCTCAAATGAAATGTTCTCTCTGCAGAAACCCTGAATGGTCTGAGCGGTCGCCCACAACAACCTGAACACACTACACGAGTGCGGTTGTTTTGAACAGCGATAAACATTTATGCGCTGAGATGTGGTCTGAAACGTCGTATGAACACGTCTGTTTTGAGCACACATGAAGTCTTAATAAGTGTGTGTGTGTGTGTGTGTGTGTGTGTGTGTACCTTTAGCAGCAGTGAGCATGGTGGAGGCCAGTTCACACTGTTGGGTCTCTATGTGGCTGAGGGTGAACCAGCGGGGGAGGCGGTTGGCCACCACGGACACGATGTGGTGAGGCCGAGACAAGTCGCCGGAGGGGGACGTGGACTCCAGGACCGGCAACCTGAGCACGGCGCGAATAAAAGAAATAGTTCTTTATTAGTCGTTACTTCTAGAGAATCAATCAATAGTTTTCCTCCGGCCGTGAGCACTGAGAACAGGTTTAAAAAGAAGTCCTCTTCTCCCGTTAGATCCTCTTATAGCTGCTGTGAGACCACGTCTCTGTAGTCTGGGATTAAATAGATATATATAAAGATTTACATATCATAAAAATCAAAAGGGGTTTCATTTGGCCGAGACGACATAAAGTTCCCGTAACACCCGTGGCGGTCGGGGAGGAAACTAACAGCTTGTATTTATTATTCACACATTTTTATATAAAACTCGTTTTCAGCAGCGTTAAATAATTCAGAGAATATTCCAGTAAAAAGGAGGTGTTGTCACTAAACGGGGCCCGAGATAGATCCGAGGTCTAGATCTCTGGATCCACTCACAACCGAAAAGAGACAGCGGAGTTACAGTTACAGGTTCTGTCCGATCCGGAGCAGAAACTCTTTATTTCTGTTCCTCCTCTCATCAGTTAGGAGGACTTCCACACTAAGCTGCACACTTTAAAATACAGATTTTTGGGCCGTTTTTCTTTCCCAAGAATCGCTTTCTGAGACTGAATATTAAATTATTATATCGGTGTTTCAGTGTGTTCGAGGAAAACTGAAGTTGTGTGGCAGTAAAGTTAATACGGACTTTCTGACGCCTCTATGTTTCTCATTTTAAATGTGAAATCAGCCGAATATGCAGCAGAACTGCTGTCGTTAACATGCATTAATGTGGATTTTGAAGTACTTTTACTTTTGGTACTTTGAGTATATTTTGATGCCAATACTTTTACAACATTTTGAAGCACTTTACTTGTAACAGAATGTTTCTACATTGAGGTAAATGCTATTTGTACTTGAGTCAAACATCCGAGTACGTCTTCCAGCACAGTAAGAGATGAAGATGAAGATTCGTTACAGTGATCATAGAACACAATACTTGACATTTATCTGTCGTCTCTGCACGTTTTAGCCTTTGTGTTAAGCTGACGTCTTTAGATTGACGACGGTGTTTAATCAGACATGAGAGCGTCAGATTATCTCATCGATGTCCTGAATGTGAGCACACGGAAGCTTTATAAACAGGACGAGTTTCTACTCACCGCATGGCCCTCAGTGCAATTTTGTACGCCAGTTCGGCGTCATGAGGTAGCAGAGAGGTGAAGAGATACTTGGCAAAGGTGTGCATGGGGACGCTTTCTCTGTAGAGCAACTCCCCGAGACCGCTGTAGGGACCAGCTGGAAGAAACAAGGACAGGAAACGGTTAACGGAGAACTCCCGTATATGACCGGACGCTGACCTTCTGCGCTGGATTATTTCCCAGGCCGGTTTAAACAGTTTGACTCAGCGGAGTATCAGGATGACGATTGCTTTGTTAGTCAAACGTTCTGAGACTTCCTGAAACACGCGAGGACGACGCGCAGAGACAAACTACAAGAATCAGACGAGTTTAAGAGTCGACGGCTTCGTGGAAAAGATATCAAGACGGATCTACTTTACTTCTCTGTGCAACAAAAAGGAATGAATTACTTTCATTACTGCTTTTCTTTAAAGCAGTCGTTTGATCTCAAAAGACGTCAGCATTATAAAGGATGACACTGCTGTTGATCTACCTTTTTTAATCTTTGTGTGAAACCAACAATGTGTTAGTGCGTCTCTAAACACCAACGAGAGACTTATTGGTTCTTTCTGAGGACGTAAACCTTTAAAGGAGGGTCACAAATATATATAGTTTCATCATAAACAAAAGCTCAATAATCTCCTAAAACAGCTGATCACTGTAGTTTATAGCGCATTTATTGGGGGCGTAGGAAAAGGAGGGAGAGGCGATAAGCAGCTGAAATATATGAAACTATTTGAAGTTTTAAGATAAAGCATCGTTTTCCATCACAGATGTTGCACATCATTACAAATTTAGAAAATGTGGCGTTTAATGAAGCATCACAGGTTCAAAGGATCAGTCTGGTGTTATTTTATATCTTTAATATTGTCAACAAATCCCATTAAAAAGGACCAACGATGTGTAATTACGTCTCTAAAGAAATCCCCTCACAAATATACAGTCTCATTTTCTCATTGACGTCTAATTTCCCCAAAACAAACCGGAGGAAATGGAGCATTTGTTGGGGACTATTTTCAGTGGCGGATTAATCCACATTTGGTGCTTTCGTGAGTATTAATACAAGGTGTGTGTGTGTTGATGGTGATGGAGGATCAGTGATGTGTGTTAACAGGAACAACAGATATCAGATTATTGATCAATTTGTTGTTGATTTTGATCTTTTCCTCAGATTTGTTGACAATAAGATAATAAAACTTCCTGTTGTGCATCCACTCTACATAAAGTCACAATGTGAGCGGCTCAATCATCAGAGGGTTTGGAGAGAAGAAGGCCTTGAACCACGATGAGCAACACACACACACACACACACACACACACACACACACACAACAAACAATGCAAACAATACACTCACACGTAAATACAGAAGTACAAAGTGTAAAAGTACACAGAGTTGACACATAAAAGCACAAAGAGCTGCTTGTGGTTCAGGGTGTGTACATGATGTGTGTACATGATGTGTGTACATGATGTGTGTACATGATGTGTGTACATGATGTGTGTACATGATGTGTGTACATGATGTGCGTCGCTCCTGCGTTTGGAAACATTTAAAGGAACAGTTCAACATTTGGGGAAACGCACAGTTAAGATGAGAACATCAACACAACTGACGGCTAGCTTAGCTTAGCATAAAGACTGGAAACAGGGGGAAACAGCTAGCATGGCTCCGTACAAAGGTAATAAAATGTGCCTTCCAGCTCAAAGCTCACGAAGGACAAAGTAACTAGAAAATGTCATTTTGTTTTCGTCTAAATCTTTGGGAGAGAAATGGATTCATTCATTCATAAAAGATCTGATCGTTACATCACAAAGGTGGCTTTTGTTGAGTCTCTTTTCTAAAATAAATGATTATATAATGCTCGGGAGGGTCTTGCTTTTATAAAATTAAACATGGGATTAATTTGTGCCGTCTCTAGCTTCATATTTAGACAAACATGAGAGAATCAATCGTCTGATTTAACTCAAGAAAGTGAATAAACACATTTCCCAAAATACCAAAGTATTCCTTTAAATGTTAACAGCCTGCTAACACGCTAAACTAAGATGCTGAGCATGGTAAATATTGCACCAGCGTGTTAGCCTTTTGCACACGTGCAGCATTTTTGCTTCAGTTAAGAAGGATTGCAGCAAAGGATTATTTTCCATATTGATTGTTTGGTTTACAAAATGTCCAGAAATTATGTAAAAACGCTCCCGCAGAATGTTCAGATGTGTTATTTTGTCTGACCATCAGCACAAAACCAAAACATATAGAATTTAATATGAGAAGAAGAAAATCAGCTCTTCATCCTTTTAAACACGCTGCCGTTGACTCACCCTCGAGCAGGAAGCCGGCTTGTTTCCTGAAGATCTTCACCAGCGCGTCGTCCGAGTCGACCTCCTGAAGCTTGGCCAGTAGCTGCTCCTCGTTGCGACACACTTTCTCCTGAGCGTACAGGCCGTCCGGCATCACCCTCTGCTGGCCTAAGCCAATCAGAGCCGTCTCCACGGCCAGCGACGCGAACGACTCGCCCTCCTCCAGGAAATGCTGAGCCGGCAAAACGGGATGCTCCGTCCTCCTACACGAACCTGGTGAGCCTGAGGGGGGGAGGGTGAGAGATGACTTAGAGGGGAGGGGGGGTGAAGATGTTCCCTTTGGGCTGAGCTGAGTATTGATAAACCTATTGATCCATTTGTTCCTTCTGGTGTTCTCTTTTCAGAGAATATGTATCCTCCCGAGGACGGGAATCATGTGTTTTAACGGCTTTATGAGGTCTTGGCCGACGTCGCTGTTCGTCCCGGGAGGGTCAACGGTGCCCGATCTATCTATCTAGATAGATAGATAGATAGATAGATAGATAGATAGATATCATGGAAGTCCTAGTTGCAAACTTTCAGGATGAGAGAAACAACCTGAAACCAGAACAACCTCTCTGGTCCTCTCTGGCTGCAGTTAGTTGAAATCCGTCTCCCCTTCTGCATAATTAATGCGTTTTAATTGGAGTGTTTTTCCTGCTGCATTCCTTATTCATGAGCTGTTATTGGAGGATGACTGCGGGCCAATCAGCACGTCCTGTGTCATCGCCGCTGATTGCAACCCGAGGGCCTGCAGCTCCGACAGGAAGACGCAATCACTGCAGTCGTGTGTGTGTTTGTGTACTTTATCGAAGTACTTGAGTACTCTGCTTTCGGGCAGTTTTGAGGTACTTTACTTGAGTGTTTTCATTTTCTGCTACACAACATCTGAGAGGGAAATATTGTACTTTTTAGAGCAAATAGAATCGGACTAAAAACACGTTGTTGAAAAATGAATCCAGCGGTTCCCAAACTTTTTGTCTTGTGACGTTTTATATTTAAATAATCAGGGTCGAGTTTGGGCTCCTTGTCAGAAGGAAAGTTTTATTTAAATAACTTTTCGATGCCTTAAGAGGTGAAATTATCACAAATTAGACAGAAAAGTCAGAAAAACTTCTTCTCTTCTCCCATTAATCCTCTCAGGACCCCTCAGATTGATCTGGCGACCCTTCAGAAGGGCCTGACCCCTATGTTGGGAACTTAACAGCAACAAGTTGCTCTAAAATTAATTCATCAATAATGTAAAACAATGTCCCACAAAATCAGATCTCAGTCAGTTATTCTCCCTTCTGTTGATAATACTTCTAAATGAACCACTTTCATTTGTAATAAAGTACTTTTACATTGTTGTATTTGTACTTTTACTTCGATAAAAAAAAAAAAGAACAGAGTACTTCCTCCAGCGCCGTGTATTTGTATGTGCGTACCTGAGAAGTCGAGCCGAGCGGCGGCTCCGTCCTCGCTGCCCCGTCCCGTCTCCGTCAGGGTGCTGAACAGGGTCCCGATGGGGTCCAGAGGGTGGCCCACCCAGCCCTCCAGGTTGGTCACTGACGTCACGCCTTTATGGAGCAGCTCTGCAACAACAAACACAAACAATTGATTCATATTCACAATCAATGCTCAGGAGTCAAACTAATTACATTGAACAGTGCAATTTAATACCCTGTGATACTGGTCATTATTATAAGAAGTATTTATGAAGTACAAACATTTATTGATATATTTGTCAGGACTTCCCCCAGCTGTAAATAACAATATTATTATCAGTAATATAATTAAGTCAATTAACATGAACTGGACCCAGATAAGTGGCAGAAAATGAATGGCTGGATAAACCAATTAAAAGATAATAAAATTTAATTAATTCCTCCCGACAGTCGACAAACAAACACCAAAAAATAAAATGTAAAACTAACTGTATGTTTCATGAGCCTCATTTAGACGTAACAAACGTGACTCTGAGGCAGAAACGGACCTTTTTTGTGCGTGCGGAAGAACTCCATCTGTTTCTGCTGCTGCCTCCTCAGTGTGTTCACGATGGAGATGGCGAGCCGGAGCGCCTCCAAAGGGTAACCGTGTGACCGCAGAGCGTCCACTCGGGCGCACGCCGTCGGGACGTGTTCTGAGGAGGAGGAGGAGGAGGAGGAGAAGGAGAAGAAGAAGAAGAGGTTTAGATGTCGACCTCTTATTAATTAAACTCCTCTAGTCTCCACCAGGTGTGCCGGCTCTCTCACCGTGCCACAGGGGCCACCCTCGGCCGTCGAACAGGGAGCTGCTGAGGTTCTCGTGGTGGCAGTAGTTGGCGTAGTGGTCCTCGGTGATGATGTGCTGCAGGTGGGTGTCCTGCCAGTGCAGGTCGCAGGCCTCGATCGCCCGCGTGAACACCGTCCGGTGAGGCCGAGTGAGCGAGTCTGTGAGACACGAACACACATCGGGTCATTAAAACGGGCAAAGATGCTGAGTGAGGGGAAAGGGACAGGTGCATGCTGGGACGTTAACTCAACATAACTCAGTCAAACATGAACACAGATATGACACACATATCTTTAGATTCAGTGAATCTTACACTTTCCATCACAAATAAATGTCAATAAATCCGCTCAGACACTTCTTATAGCTCCAGAACTTCCCTGAGAATCATCATGTTTTTAAGATTCCTTCAGTATAAGTGATCCAGTGATAGGTGTCCGTACATCAGTGGGTGCTCTGCAAACAGGAACTGCTGATTCGGCATATTTTTAATGGTGCCACAATGTAAACAAATATCGGCTCAAATTGTAGCCTGCAGCATAACTCACAGACAACATTATACGTCCTGTTGAAGCTCTGAAAACCTTAAATAAAAGCAACACAAAGACACATAATATCTATATATCTTCATGTGTAGATATTTTGGGGCCCACAGTGTCGGGCTGCTGTAGCAGGATAAATAAATAAATAAATAAATGTCGATAACGCATCAAAACCAGGAGCCATTACGGACAGAACGGCAGCAGTAATAACAGCGCCCGTCTTCTCATTGGAAACATTTTTATTACCTCCTCATAGAAACGCTCGTCTGTGTTTTCTGCTGCAGGACCTCAACTGTGTTATTAGACTCATTCTATTAGACACAGTAAAACAGTGATACAGCTCAAAGGCACTGAGGTAGGAGGAGGGAGAGTAGATTAACAGAGGAGGGGGTGGGGGGGGGGACAGAAGACTGAGTGTTAATACAGATGAGGAAGAGGAGGAGGAGGAGGAGATGCTGCAGGAGAGAAGAGAAATAAACCTTCAGATGGAATGCAGGAGAGGATTTGGGAATATATTTAAATATACACATCCTCTCACCTGGGTTACCTGTTATATACAGTAATATATATATATATATATTAATTATATTATATTATATAGATATAAAGGGCTCACCTGGGTTACCTGGAGGACCTTGCGGCAGAGCGTTGGTCAGGTTGGTCAGCTCGCTGCCGTGGTTCCCGTCCTCCAGAGGACAAACGTCCACACCGTTCCACCGGCGGAGCTGACGGAGCCAGAAGCCCTTCTGCTCCGGTTTATAGTGAGGGTTCAACACGATGCACATCCACAGGGCTCCTGCACACACACACACACACACACACACACACAACCATAAAATGAGTTACTCCGCGTCATTCTCACCTCTTAGAAATAATAAAGTAGAGCTGAATAATGCTGAATTAAATTAATAAAAGCACTGATTTCTGCAGCTTCTATTATCGTTTGGTCTGTTTATGTCAGAAAAAGGTGAAAAATGTCTAAAACGCTCAGATATATATTCAGTTTACTGTAATGTGAGTCAACAAAAAGCTTAAAATTCTCACGTTTCAGAAGCATGAACCATAAGATAAGATAAATAAAATATAGTGCAAAACCCCAATTAGTTTGTTTACAATGACGTATAACCGAGCAGCCAGTCGTCACATTGAAGACGATGAAACACAGAATACTAAATAAATCAATCTGTGAAACAATAAATCAAACGTGAGATCATCGGCATCGTTGATTAAAGACGTGAAGACACTGGACACCAGTTAGAGAAGGAAACCACACAAAGAGGAAGAAGACTGAACAATGGAACCGTTAAAGGATAAATAGCAGACGACAGATGACAAAATGAAACAGGAGGAAAAAAGAAAGGAAGTGAGGAAAAAAAATAGGGAGGACAGCGGAGGAGAGGGGGGAGTGAAAGTAGGAGGGAGGCTAAGGATGGGGGGAGGGGACAGGAGAGGAGAGAGGAGGAGAGGAGAGGCTTTATCCTCCGTCTCTTTGTTACGGCTGCTTCAAGGACAACAACGAGGAGGGAAAACAGAGCGCCGAGAGAAAATGATGTCAGACGTGCAGAGTGACGAAATGCAAAGCAAGAACCTACAACAGAGTGTGTGTGTGTGTGTGTTTTACATGTTGCATCACAGTTTTGGTTGTGAGCGAAGCTCGACTTCTATTTTCATGATCGATTTTGATTACAAACAAATAAGCTAAAGTCACTACAATAACAACCATCATCATCAGATTAGCTCATTTGTGTTGATTAACCGCTGAACAAAAAGCAGCATAAAATGGACAAACATAAATACACGTACCTAGAACGTTTGTTCTTTAACGGACGCTAGCGGCCTCTCAATGAAAACAGAACTAAAATCTGAAATCCAGTTAATAAGTTAATGAGTTAAAAACCACCAAGATCGAAAAAGTGAATCGAAAAAGTGTGTCTCAAAACTGGATATGAAGTCAAAGAGGACATGACGCAACCGACAGGCGACCGAGTGAAACGCACCTTGATTAAAATGACAGATGTTGTCGTTTTCAGACATTTTATTTTAATTTACTTTTTTTACCTTTATTTTCCCAGATGTAGTAGTTTGATTTTAGACATTTAAATCAGAAGAATTGACATATTGACTGGTTGAAGTCACAAAATAAACTGCTGTGTGTGTGTGTGTGTGTGTGTGTGAGTGTGTGAGTGTGTGTGTGCGTTACCTAGTTCATCCCACAGCTGCCTGTACTTGTCAGTCATGGTGGTTCCCTGTTGCCTCCACAGTGCCAGTCTGGGGTCGCCCATGAACTGCTCTGTGATCAGCGTCAACATGCGAGCTCCGTTGGAGTCCCTCATCTTCAGCATCTCCCTCACCTGCGGAGACATTTGAGGTGCATTGTGGGTAATCGTAGCACGATGACGCGTGTGTGTGTGTGTCTGTGTGTGTGTGTGTGTGTGGGTGACTCTGTTACCTTGCTGAACAGTAAGTTGAGCTGCTTCCCCGAGCCGTGGTACCCGCCCTGGGAGAGGAAGAGCTTGACCTGCTCCTGAACCTGCTCCTCGTCCAGATGCCAGCAGTTGTCATCGTCCACGCTGGCGCCCGCCGTCGGATCTGGAGCTCCTGCTCAAAGGAAACCAGTCAGTTAGACACAGACACTCATATTCACTTATCAGTTTATTACATGCAGTGGTGGAAGAAGCACGCTGACCTTATACGTGTGTGAAAAGTAGAAAAACTCACTCTGTTAAAGTCCTGCATTCAAAATATTTAAAAAAATGTACCTAAAAGTACTAAATATGCACGACACTCAATACTAAATTATTGGATTGTAATCATAATTGATGCATTAATGTGTTCATCACCTAATATATTGCTGGGTAGCTTGAGAACAAACAATAAAGTCTTCATCTATGTTAATACATCAGAGATTATTTGATTATATTCTGAATTAATAAACAGAATCTGCAAATTTACTAGTAAAAAAAACGTTAACAAATAAATGCATTGCAGTAGAATAGAATAAAGCAGCAGAAAATGTAAATACTCAAGTAAAAGTACCTCTAATCTGGACTGAAGTACTAAAATATTGTTGTATAAATGCAGTGAACAGTAACGGTCTGTTCATGGAGGAGCAGACATGAAAACGCCTCGTCAGCACATAGCTCACCCTCTGCATGAATGCATTAATGCAGTACTGGTTACCATCGAACACTGATTAATACCATAAACTCTGCAACAATAACCAGCCTGCAACACTTAAATATCACTAAACAATAAAACCCACGGGGTCTAAAAGCAGAGTGGGTTCTATAGGTTCTGTTTCCAAAGTGGACATAAAAGTACTAAAAGACAATCTAACTGCAATCAAAACAGTTTTAAATGTTCACAACTAATCCAATAATCAATGAATCTTTGCAGCTCCAGCCATAAAACACTAACTATGCCGCAGTATACAACAACACAGCACAACAATCCAAACGCATAAATAGAGTCACCTCAAAACTTTCCCCACTTCATGCATATGAGTCATCATTTAAGTGTGTGTGTGTGTGTGTGTGTGTTCCCTCCCGTTCTCCCTCAACAGCTTGTTTTTTTCCCCCCCGAGTCGTCTCCGAGGACGTCAGCCTCCAGCTGGACCTCCACCGGAGCGAGATGGAGGAAACCTAACACAAGTACCTGCTTCTGCTCGTTGGCGTCTGTACTTCCACGCATGTTTAAATCACAAACAACCACCACCATCGACTCACCGTGGACCTGGTTGATCTCAGAGTTCTGCGACAGGATTTCGTCGGCCAGCTTCTGTGCCGTCGGCAGCACCTCGGTGTGGTGCACCGTGATCAGGTACTGAACAAACTTCTGCAGCTGATCTCTGTTCATCTGGAAAAGAGTCTCTGAGATGGGCAGGCGCAGTTTGACCTGCTCGGGCTTCCGTACTCGGTACAGCGACAGCGCCACCACGTGGGCGCAGTAGAAGATGTCTTTGTTGCCGCAGCCGCACGTCACCGCGGTGATTTTGCAGCGGTCGAAGCTGACGCTGACGTTGCAGACGAGCTCGGGCTCCGAAGACGTGGCCGGTTCCCTCACTGTGCCGCTGAGGTGAAACCCTGCAGAGAAACAGGAAATATTCACTGTTAACCATCTGAAGGTAATGAGACACTTCACTGGCTAGCTTCTGTACAAAATAAAATGAAAACGCTCACTTTAAACTAAATGTTTTAGCCGACATTTCACTTTTTACGACACTATGGCTGAATTTGTAGTCACGTTTTTGCCAAAATTAGGCACATTTTATACTGTTGTCCCTCAGACCTGATGTTAAATCAGCCAAAAAACAACAAATACAACATTTAAATCTACAAAAGGAGAAAGCGAAACGTGAACAGCGGAACATGATCAAAGGCTTAGATGAGTATAAGGCAGCATCATGCAGAGCAGGACGTGTCAAATGCAGACAATCGTCAAAATGTCTTAAAACTTGACATAAAATCCCATCACATTACAGAAGACGGGTGAAACCGGAAGCTCACAAACAAAAAGCCGAGCACACGAGAGCAGGCATGCAGTATTCTCTCTCTTTTAGCTCCGTTTTTGGTCTCCGCCACCAAATCCTGAGGGAGACAACTGTCTCTTTAGCTGCTGAATGCTCCACGATGTTCACCAGCTCGTCTCTGAATGTGTCTGTCTGCCTTTTGGTGCTGGACAGGAAGTGTACGGGGGATTTTTTACGCTGAAAACGGCGCTATGAGCAGCAAGAGTTAACCAAAACACAAACAAGAAAGATGCTAAAACGCTCCTCAAAGCTCCCAGTCTACAAACTTGCTTATCTAGAGCCAGTGTTTGGTTTGTCCTTTCTGGGCTACTGTAGAAACATGGCAGCCCGCTCCATGAAAAGGTTCCTTCAAAAAAATAACTATTTTCAGATGATTATACACTAAACAAACCTATTATATTCCATTTCTACCAACAGATCCCCTAAATGCTACTCTGTCCCTTTAAATGCCAAAGAAAAGAACACTTTAACTACTTTTCTACCTTTGCATCTGTTTCTGATTGACTCTGTGCTGAAACATCAAACCAGATACTCCCGATCACAGCGGCTCGACCCGACTTTGATCCGGTGAGAGACGTGAAAGAAGCAGAGCGACATTTAAGAGAAAGACAGATGAGTGAAACCACAGGGAGGCGAGACTAAAGCTCCACCAAATATTCTCATTTCCTTTTTCATTTCCCTTCCACAACACCTCGAGTGCTTTCCTTAACCCCGAGGACTGACGGGATCACTTCACCGCAAGGCAGCGAGACCCGCTTCAGTACAGTGAACCCCTCACAAGATGAAACCTCTAGGGTTGGTGGAATGTAAACAAAGATGGAGGAGCACTTTTCAATGTGGATTTGACCTGAAACTTGCTTCTTGAAGTCTGATTTCTTGAAGCTCAGGTATCCGAGTCTCCGACAGTAAAATAAACGATGATGAGGATCATTTTCCAATCCAACAGAAACCCTAAAGACTAACTAACATAGATTTGAAAGAACAGAAGCTGCACGTCGGAGCTACGGTATTGTGTCAAACCAGACGGCAAACTGTTTGAGCAAAATACTTCTGTAATGACAAGAAGTAGACAATCTATGTGAGTAAACGTATGTATCTGACTTGGTTAGTGGGTCACCAGAGATTACAGATGCGTCAGAAGCAGAACTGCTGCAAACGGTGGGAGTTTATCATCCGTGTACGTACATTTAGCAGAATGTGAACGTCTGTGCTGTTTCAGTTTCACTGAAGGGAGCATATAGTTCTTTAAGACACAACATACGATACAGTTACTCTGATTAAAACACATGGCTGAGCTGCCACCGTTGGACTAAAGCATTTTAAGGAAAGCAATGCAGCAAGAAGTACTTCTCTTGCATCATGTTGTCACGCAAACTGAGTGACAGAAGACAGACAGCATTATTAGATGTTAGCTTGAACCAAAGAAAATGGAAAACACTCGATCAAACATCCCGTCTGTGGGGGAGTTTAAACCAACTGGAAGCAGACGGAGAACGACAGCGCACACTCAAACTATAACAGAGCTGAAACTCAGCTTTTTAATCCAATCACTGCGATGGTTTACGCTCGATGACAGAGATGTAAACAGGAAAGCGTCATACGTATAAACCGGTGTATCAAGGTGAGCCTCACACAGAATATACACATGTCAGAAAGTGAACGCAAACAAACAGGTGCACACAATACCAGCAGTTGTTCACGCTGGAACATTAGCTGTGAGGTACGGTTTCCCTTCACACACACACACCACAGAGCTGACACATATCAACCCTGCTGGGTGGAAGATGGCTGTAAACAGAGTAGGTGTCTGACTATGTGGTGGAGCTTAAAGTGATCAGAGCTGAGCTAAACACAAAGACGAGACACCATCCGAGAGTGAAACCGACATGTCTGTTCTGCTGCTGCACAAGCACTGGATTGCACAAAATCCACATCCTGTCTTTTAAAACACACACACAGAGAAAAGCATGCTGCCCCAGTCATGCCTGGCCCACAGCTGAACTACTGACGTAACAGAAAGAGAGAGAGAGTGACTCGAGGACGAGGAGGAGGAGGAGGAGCGCTGTGCTGCTGGAAAAATCGGTATGCCCTCAGCTGAGTGTGTGTGTGTGTGTGTGTGTGTGTGTGTGTGTGTGTGTGTGTGTGTGTGTGTGCGTGCGCTTGGCGGCTAGCCAAAGCCCTGAGCTCAGCATTCTGTAATGCACTTCCTCTCTCCATGTCTGCGCTCCACACAGCTTGCATAATACGTCTCTGTGCACTGCGTAGCAACCAAACTTAACTCCTTCACTCCCCAAAAGAAACACACAGAGTTCACAGAGTTATATTTAAGACTTTATCAGACCTTTAAAAGTCAACGCCGAATGAAAAAGTACGAAAGAAAGATGGAAAACCAGCAGGGACGCAACTATGTATTACTATATCACATTCCCAGCAATATAACAATAATTCCTAATGATATATTTTGTTCAATGTTTGGGGAAATATTGACTTTCGTGCCAGGAGTTATATTACCAGGAACCAGGAGATGAGTTAGCTTAGCTTAGCATAAAGACTGGAAGCAGGGGGAGACAGCTAGCCTGGCAGGAGGTCACTGCATCTTGACAACAAATAGTGCAGCACATATTATTTATACTGTGAGCTTCAGAGGTGCTGCTAGAGAAATTTGTTTGGACAGAGCCAGGCTAGCAGTCCCCCCCCCCCCTGCACGTTTGTAGTCTATATGCTAAGCTAAGCTAACCGGCTGCTGGCTCCAGCTGTAAAACATTACTGTGCAGACATGAGAGTGGCATCAATCTTATCAGCCAACTCTCTGCAAAACAAAACAATCAGGGTAATGTGTTACACAACTAACGTTCTATCTGCAGCAGTGACTGTAGTGTCCGACGGCGCTGACTGAAGCTCCACAAAGAGAGATTGAACAACCTCCTCTAGCAAAATCCAACAGAAACAATCTCACTTTAAGTCTATGAGAAGGTGTAGAACGTCTACTGACAGAGTGCGATCGGCTATGAGAACGTTGAGAGAGAAAATACAGAAAAAGATATATGCAAGTTACATTTTAAATGCTTTTTTAAAGAACCTACATTCACTGCGTTTATCAAACTTCTCAGGCCCTGCAGATAACTCGCCTGGACACACCGCGGTTTAACACTTCACTCCCAATTAAGCCCGAGGTAATCAATTTAAGCCGTCTCTATAGGATTAAGTGAGGAGGCTGTCTCAGTGGGGTGGGGGGGGGTGTTTGCCTGTGAAAGAGCAGCGTCTCAGCTCCCTACAGGGTTCAGCCTGAGGAGACCTTCACGGCTGTGTGCAGCATCGCCCGCTCAAGCTGTGGCTGCAGGGGGTCATTTCTCAGCTATGTGGCCAAAGCCTTCATTTAACTCTCGGCACACAAAAGCCAGATAGACCAACCAAACCCCGCCCCCCCACACACCTCTACCACGAACCAGTCAGCCATTCAGTCCAAAGCTGGCCAGTCAGGCGGAAGTGAGAGCCTCTCGGCCAAGGTGTGTGTGTGTGTGTGTGTGTGTGTGTGTGTGTGTACTTCTGGCAACAATGGGGAACCTAATCTGTGACCCGTGGAGATGCAGAGGCACCTGTGGGGCTGTAGGAAGGAGAAGTAAACAACCACTCAATAGTCACGGCGGGCTGATTACCATCTGCATCAGCCTCCAGTTACACAGTGGTGTGGGGGCTACGCTAGTGCTAACCGATTCCTGTGAGGCTAGCACCATCAAAAGAGACGAGAACTGAATGGCCCTTTGATTGGATCATGCACCGCCATGGGAACCAATAAAAACCAGTACGGAGGCTAGTCAGCTGCTCTTTGCTAACCGTTAGCAGCCGAAAACTAAGAACAGCCGGCCGGTCAAGCTTCGGTCAACTGGGTCTGAAAGCCGGCAGCTAACAAGGTAATGTGTTAATGGACAGGGGGGTCGGTGTGTGTGTGTGTGTGTGTGTGTGTGTGTGTGTGTGGGGTAAGGAGCTTGAAGATGCACCTCCATGTGAGCTCAAAATGAGATCAATGAGGGTTTGTGTTAACTGGGTCAATCTGTGACCCTCTTAAGGAGCCAGCAGCTCCTTTAAGCGTTAACATGCTAATCAACGCTCTGCTGATGTCTTTGTCTGTATGACCATAAATACACCTGGCAGCACTAATCTTTTGTCTTTTTTAAATATAGTTAACAGTGAACTGCTTCTTCTTCCTGCAGTCCGGCCTAGAAATAACAAACTGCACTGAAATACAACACGGAGGAAGGAGTCCTCCTCCACCGAGCCGACTGAAATTCCTCAGCTCGGTCAGAAAAACAAAGAGGGCCGCCTTCACGACACACGCGGCGCTGCGATCGGTCTCGTCACTCGGACAGAATAAACGACTCATAGCGGCAACTAACTGGAAACTCTTTGAGAAGAAGCGCCACCGCACTGAAAGAATGACTCAATAATCATCTGGTGTTCCTCTCAACAACCACGTCTCAGTGGTTTCATCAGCATGAATAAATGACTAAAAACAAACTCTCAAAGCACTCACAGACGCTACACTCGCCTCAGACT